ACGCTAATTTCTTATTTATTCTTCAAATATCTTATGTCCTACTTCGACTGCACATTATTTAAATTTGTTCTAAGCTATCAGATTTTCATTAAAAACTTATTAACGATCAACGATCACTCGAATCAGGACACATTAATGTCGTTTTTAAAACAGGAATATTGTTGGCAGGAAAACCAACATTATTCATGGTTTCTGCAATTATTCATGGTTTCAATAATTAACTAACGAACATCAATTTTAGCTGACACGATTCTAATTGACAAACAAAATGTCTAATGAAGCAGAAAGAGGCTCGCTCCTAAATAACAGCATCATAAAAAGAAAAGCCGTTAACGTCTTTTATTTCTAGAGCGCCCGATCGTAGATTGTAAAGCAAAAAGCTGTCCTGGTGAAGCCGGGACGTAACTGTCCGGTCAGGCGTCTTCTACCCGCGAGCTATGCACTCGGATTCCATCCACTGCGCAGCAAATAACAGCTTTCCTTTTGTGAAATGTTGGAAAAAAAAGTCCATGTAGATGGTAATGACTAGGATAAAGGCCGGGTTGTCTCCACATTTTTGACCCAGTTATGTATGAAGCGGCTAAGTATTTTACTAAGCTCTTTGATTCACTCTGTTAAGTGATTAGTTTTTTTCTTCGGTTCTAAGAACACAATTATGGAGTTCCCAGCATGGTACCGGAGTTATCAAAACCAAGAAATTTCGGGTACTCTACTGTAATTCTTAGTGGCTAACTATAGACCTTCCATCAAATAAAGCACATCATTTATTAGTTGATATGCTTTTTATTGTGTGGTTCGCTGGTTTACAGCGAACGTTTGCAGAACACAGTTCCGTAAACAATGACGTGCTGGTTTAAATGGGCTTTCAGCCGACGGATTTTCTAACTCCGTTTCAAAGATGCATTCAAGACGGCGCCCCCATCGCCTCGAGGTGCCCTAGCAGCGGCATGTCAAAGGCTCACTACACAAAGGCCGCCCGAAGCGCCGATGATGAAGATCCTTCTTTAATCAGAATGGGCGACTCGCGTCAAGTCTTCAGGCGACACAACGGGTACTATGCCCTTTTGAAAATCATGATATTGGCATAAGAGTGGAGTAAAGCATGATCGTTGAACAAATTAGGTAATCTTCCATGCATTTTTCAGTTTAAACATTTTTTTCTCCAAGCGATACATTATAGTTAGAACGACTGTATTTCCAGCACAAGCATCAATGCCGAAAAGGCTCGGTGGTTGATAACAAATACATGCAACACAACACACAATTGTATTAGCTACAAACATGCTAAATTGCACACAGTTATTATTAAATCCAATATATAGTTAATAAAATATTTAGATAATAACCCACCAGAACTATAATCAAATATTGGCATATTTGAAAATCGTTCCACAACCAACTCAACAGACTGACCCAAACAGAAGTGAAATGAGAAAAGCGCGATTTCACCTGATCATCTGAGCGTGTCAATATACACGTACAACTGAGTGTACGACATGCTTCACAGTAAATTCGTTCCCGCCACTCATGCACCACGCAGTCACCACCACGAGTGGCACGTGAATAAAAAAGGCTTTTCCGTTAAGAACTTCTGGTTATTTGCGCGTCAGAACGCGACCTCGTTCGGCCTATGCGCTCATAACTGCAAGATCTGCGCGGTAGATAAATGTGCAAATGGCGGCCGCAACACTCACTTTAATTAAACTCAAGCGCAATTAATAATAAATGATCCATTGCTTCGTCATTGTAAAATTTTCATTGGATAGATTTTTTTTTATGCAAAATTTTAGAACACAAATAATAAAATAGAACATTCTTAAATTATCAAGGTGCTTCTTCAAGGTCGAGTAATTAAAGTGAGAGCTTCTAAAAAGTAAAAAAAAACTTGCCCACGTAAGCTCAGAGAATATGTATAGCTCACCACAGATTGGCCCACTGCTCTAGATCGCAAAACTATTCAACTTGCATCCTGTGCCATACTATAGTTACATTAATTGTTAATGCGAAGTTTTTAGGCCGCAAGCTAATCAGCTTCAATTAATTGGAGATCCTGGTAACATTCCTATTAATCCGCGCCCTATTGACGCATTAACTTTGCATTCAGGCTGCAAAGTCCGTTTGGAATAGATGAGAAAATTCTATATATGGTATGCAAATAGTCAGCGAAATAGTTATAGTATACGGTAGATAACTACCGTATACGGTAAAACGGTAGAGCGTAGTTTACGGTACATAACTACGTATACTTAGCATTTCTGAAGCCAACATCATTTTCTTCAATTCTTGATAATCCATCGATTGTCCTCATTATATACAGGGGACAGCCAGACAAGTGTTATTCCTGCACCATCAGGGTAGAGGTGTATTAGCTGGAAGAATGTATTCGTAGCTTTTCGGAAAGCAAACTTTATCCAATACGGAGAATTTAGCCGTCTCTCCTCGACAACGGACATGATACATTTCGCTCATATTTAATGATCATTATTATGACTTGAGCACTTTAACAACATATGCAGGAGTTTCCAAACATGCATATGGCGTACGGACTCGTGCATATGGAATTATTGGAATGTGATCTCAAGCTCTGTAAGCTGAATGCATATTAAACTCTCAATATTAAATGGAAATGGACGTCAATCAGTATAGTTTATTATGTAGGACATTGAAGCATGTGGTGAAATCCGCCCACTGAAGGCTTGGATTTTCATGATGTATATCATAGCAGTCGAAAAATCAGGGCGGAGCAGATTCTACAGCATCTGAATTATCGTAGCGATAATATATTAGTTCTGAATAGCTGAGCACACGCATTCAGCAGGTTCAATGCAAGGTAGCAAGTACTTGTTAGATTTGTCATATGTTCAGTCGTTCAGCAGCAACGCGAAGCGTTTCAACAACATCAGCAGCTGCCGCTCCAAGTGTTAAACATTAGAGAGTTATTGAAGTACTTAAAGCCTTGCCAAGCCCGTCCACACGGTCTGGATTAACTCGGAAGTTCGGCATTATCGCCCAAATAACTCACATTTGCAAGGAATTTATCCATATCTGGCTGCAGTTTTATATTAGAGAGACACAATATTTTCACATTAAACGCGAAGGTGACTGGCTAATAAATTTGATCATTAGAACTTCCCTGTAAAAACCGGGTTCCGCAATCTACACATATTGTATAAGTGTGTCAGGATGTAAAAACTGGCTAAGTTGGCTTTCGTGGCTGCCTCGAGCCAGCGGCGAGGCTGCGCTAGTTCATACACTAAAGAGAGGTCGGATTCTCGAACATTCTTACCATTACCATGAGGCAAAAATTAATTGAAAATCCGGCAGCCACATTGCAATATTACATTATTATTATTATTACATGTATTTCATAGCCTTGTATAGCGGGCAGATAAATATAATATAAAAACATCCCTGATGAAATGGTTCCAGATCTATTCCGAAAACTTGGGTTCGCTGCTCATTCTTCCCAAAAACTTCGATTTTGCTTCCCTTCGAATCCGACTACAATGGAAACTCACCTAAAATTGTAAATTTGTTCCGTTCGCTTATAAGTAAATCTCCAATATTTAACGCACATTAGCAGAGTGTCCATTTAACCAACCATTACTGAATTGAAACTATCACCTTGTCCATAGGACACACACCATCGTCATACTCACTATCTTAACACAAGCGCTCCTGTAGTAAAATTGTGCTGGAGACGTTAACTCATTCGAATAAATTATAAACATTATTTACTTAATAATTATTGGTAATTTTAAATTTATAATAACTGATTGACGACTTTTGGAATTCCTTCGTACAGCATTAAAGAGGACGTAATGCCTTGACAAAGAAAATGCCACGTCATGATCTAATTAAAGAGCTTCACGGCGACACAGACGGCCGCGTATCATGTGCAAGCAAAGGAGCTTTGCATTAGTACGCATCGATGCTCATCAGATCCCATTATTCAATAAAGGATTATCTCGGTTATGGCAATTAAAATATCTGGTTAAATATTGCCGCTTTGATACGTTAAAGCAGATTTATTCGGCTTAACCGACCGCGGTATGACGCGGATATCAAGCCTTCGTTTAGGATATCGATGGCGTGAATGTTAACCTAAATATTGAGATTTTTGAGAGGTTTCTTTAGGCCTTTAAACTAAAGATCGAAATGGACGTCAATCAGTATAGTTTATTATGTAGGACATTGAAGAAAAATTGAAATTGTTTCCAAGGATCTTCGGTTCGGAACGATCATTTGAATGAAAATTCTATTTCCCCATTAGTATTATTTAGATTGTTGAATTTAAACCGATGCATGTAAAAATATTCATTGATGGAGTGTTAAATTTATGCAGAAGAATGCGAAACAGTTATAAAATGATATATCCTGCCAACCTTGAAGCTTACCGAACATTTTTTATTTTCGAATCAAATATTCTACTTCTCTAAACTCATAACGACAAGAAGTAATGAGACTAAAATTATTGTTAATGTACAGGAATTTACAGATACACACTTGTTTCTTCACTGTTTCCTTATCGCTGCAGGTATGGCGCACCTGTCGTCTATATTATGAGGTCTTATAACAGCTGCAATTGCCGCAGCTCAACCGGCAGCAGCTGCCTCGGGTGCTAGCGGTTGAGCTCACCTTGGCTCGGCAGTCCGGCAGCAGCTGTGCCGGAGAGAACAAGTGTGTGGTGTGTAGGCGGACAAGCGGTACTTCCATGCCGCCTTGGAGAGAAACATTCTCAGTGATCTGGTTCATTTTTAGTCGGTAAATGTTAAATTAAAATTCAGCAAGCCGGTTTTGATATTAATATCTTTTCAGCTTTTTAATAAACCTTTCAGTAATAATACAATTCCTTCGTTATGCCGAATGTAATGTGGAAATTGTGCTGAAATACGTATAGCTACATTTAATAGTTGACTGCCGCAACATTTTCCCAATTGTCAAAGTTTCATATCTCATTTCACTCGCACACTTTCACGTTAACTTTGTTCTTATTTTTCAGAGTAAGCAAAGACATTGCATGAGCATTCGCTTCTCAAATGTGTGTTGTATGAGCTTAAACCAAAGTTGATACCCGGAAAAACAGCAAAAACATTAAATTCCGGAAGCAAACGTCCAAAGACTCTAATCTGCCTATGTTTTCAAAACATCCAAAGATTTGAATCCTTCTTGCGTAAGTTACTGTATGAATAAGAAGTTATTCAAACCAGAGAATCTTCACAAATTGCATATGCAATTCACCGCATATTTTGTTCCAGCAACTTCAGCTCCGTGCGATTTTATGAGTGAGTACCTCTAATTAATTACTTAATGAAATTTAGCTTTTAATTACTCTGGCTTTAATCCAAAAATAGCAGTCAAATGCCAAGACCAAAACTGGAACACACATTCGAAATTGTTCAGACCTCATTGCCCCAAGAGGTGTAACCGCAGGGCAGGGTGGCCCAGTGGGTACAGTTAAAGAGGACCGAGAGTAGAGCTGTGAGTTTCGGGTTCGATCCCTGCACGACAGTTCGACAGTTCTGGTCAAAATCGGCAAGGTAGCCGAATTGTTGAGAATAGCAAGATCGGAATAGTCAATTGCAGGTTCGAAACCCCCCGCAAGCTGTAAAAATTCTGCGATCGCTAGCAGGCCAGAGTTGGCTTATTCAACGCTGACACCACTATTACCAAGTGGAAAACTTAATCAACTCACAAATCGGACTGTAAACTAGTGAGCAGATGCATAGTTGAAGGCAGAATTACCTTCAAATGTTGCAACCAAGAAATTATTGCAATTACAATTGTTGTGCAGCTAAATTTCATTAAAACAAAACAATTGTAATCGTAATATGGCTCTAAGAAGTAGGTCATATTAGTTACGTGGGCCAGGAATGCTCTAGGCTAGTTTGGGCTCTCGTGCTTTTGAGGCACAAAAACCGCAACGCTGCCCAGGTTTTTGCATCCGTAACGGTCGGAGTCCGGTTTTTTGTTATCAGAGATACGTGCTTTGCTGCACGTCACATTTCCGGTTCCAGTTAATTCAATACGAAAGAAAAGTACTCGCAAATCTGTACTAGCACATTTTTTTGCAAGTGAGAACTGACCTGAGAAGATATATTAATTATTGGCGTCGTTTGAATGATCACACACAAGTGTTACACAAGCAGAAGTGACGCCTATATGATAATATTTAAGAAATCAACATGCTAAATACGTTTCTACGCTGCAATAAGTCATGTTTTGAAATATTCAACCTCAAACAATAGTAAAACAAGCGATCTTATACTCAAATGTCGGAGTCCTCTAACATTTAATAAAGCATTACATCATATTACACTGTTATTTACACATAAATGGACCCAAGAGGCCATACTCCACCCGATCATCTGACTGATCGTAACTATAGCCTATCATTGTTCTGTATAGTTTCAATTCTGCATGCCAACTGCTTAGAGGCTTCATGTAGCTACACTTCATTGTATGGCCATCGTGATTTAGTTAATTTGGATCAAATCAATTAATACCCAGATTAATTCTACTAACGAATTATTCACAATGTATATACGAATATTCATCATGCATTAAATTTGCGAGCACCAGCTGCAAAAGTGGAATCCGTAGTAATCTCAGCACATCCACGTTATTGGTAACACCAACTAAATATTAATGATATTCAAGTTTAAATTAGTTTCATAATGTGACTGAAACCGTTCCTATGCGCTGGACTGACGGTTATTGAACACTATTGAGCACTACTGAACACTATTGAACACTATTGAGCACTACTGAATTATAATCTTGACTGGCGTATAATCTTGACTGACGTCGCGCGTTCAACAGTCCACGTCAGTCCGCCAGTCGTGTGACGGTATTCGAAACATGGCAAAATGGAAGCAGGCTTCTGTTGACCTTGTTAGTTACAAGTTTTTTGTCTGAAGTAAAAACTATAAAGCGATAAATTCTGCCGTTTTTCCATGGCTAGCTCATGAGCCCTGGACAGCTTTCTCTGAGACAAGTTACCGAACATCGGGTGCGGCTATAATAATTTCTCTCTTTGATCTCGAGTCTCGACACGCTTGCCGGTGCCACATTTTTGGCAGCTGATTATTACTGACATCTAGGTTAGCTTCTGGGCAGTGAAAAATAATTTTTGTATGGCTGTGACAAAAAAAAATATAGCAAATTTCGATCACACTTTATGATGGCCTTTCGCTGTGACAAGAAGTTTGATGGTATTGAATTGAATTGAATTATTGAACATAGAAATATTGGTATTGGTAATACCGTCATAGAAATATTTTTATTGACGTTATTGAATTGAACATAGAAATATGAGAGTAAACTTTTTCGTCACATGCAGAAAATCTTTAAGCTAAATAACCAAAAATACCCTAACACAAGCTTATTAATATCAATTCATGTACCGGTTAAAATAATAAGCCTGTATTGCAGAAGTTATAAACAAAAAACAACCTAATTACTGTAACAATATAACAGGAAAGTAAGTCAATTCTGATGCAGAGTCAATTCTGACCTGCATTTTTCTGACAAACAATTTGATTGAAAATTAGGTTTAGGCTTCTTTGTTTCGTTTGGATGCATTTAATACTTGCCGCTTCTTTAGAAATATTTGCACGAGAGATCATTTGCCATTCTTTTTCCCGCATATGCGAGGAATTGTTCAGAAAACGTGAAATCGAAGAAAGGTTCATACAGTCCGCATTGAAACGCGCGAGCATATTTTGCGCTCTGCAATCATCATGATGTAGTGCATGCAATATCTAATACGAGCTTAATTGCTAGTAAATTTTCAATCCGGATGTTTGAATCCGCCTAGAAATTGAGGCAAAGTCATTATTGTAACGCCGAGCGACATCCCATTAACACTGCAGTTACAGTAGGTTCCATTATCTCTGCAATAAGACGATGCGAAAGACGGAGAGGTGATTTTTTTTATCCCCACCTGAATGCTCAAATAATACTTCAACTAATCAATATTTTTATCCCACTTGAATGCTCAAATAATACTTCAACTAATCAATCTTTTTATCCCACTTGAATGCTCAAATAATACTTCAACTAATCAATCTTTTTATCCCACTTGAATGCTCAAATAATACTTCAACTAATCAATATTTTTATCCCACTTGAATGCTCAAATAATACTTCAACTAATCAATCGATGAATGTTTCGAAGGCGCCGCTCTAAGCATTTGAATAGACTGATCAAAAAAACTGACTGCATCGGGAAAATTTCCATTTCCAATTATTAAATATTTTGCCCAATAAGAAAACGTCGTATTACTTAATCACATGAAATAATTATTTATGCTGATATTTTGAAAGTATACAATAAAATGTTCAAATAAAATATTTATATAAAATTGATAATAATAATATTTAAATAAAATATACAATAAAATGTTTAAAAATATAAGACACTACGATGACGAAAATTAATCCAAGATAATTCATATTTTCTTCAAAGTACCAAAGCCCGAGTGAATAAGAAATGGACATCTCGCAGTCCACTCTCGACCGACGCATGCGCACCTCTTGAGAACTTAACCATCGATACCGTAAATAAAAAATCCCCTTTGATAATCGCGAGGCGGCGGCATCAATTGCCTATAGCGAGCAAAATTGTTTCGTTTTATTGCGTCACGGCGGATTGCGCTTGTGCCTAACAGGAAATGCGCATCGCTTCAAGAGGGAAAGAAGCGCTCTAGGCCAGTGAGAAATCCTGCCGCATTTCTTCAGGAATAGTTGCTTTGTATACATATCTAGTGAGATGAACTGCTGTAAATGCGTGCTATCTTAGATGGTATGTGCAGCCATCTCAAAGCGATCAACCTCCATCAGGTAATGGCTGCTTAGAGAATTCTAAGTGCCGTTTAGTTACAACGAAGGCATATCTCGGTAATCAAGTTCCGGAGCGCGTAAATTTTGTTTCGTGAATATGTTTAAACATCGTAAATTCTGTGAAAGCATCTGCCTAGTATTATCCCAACATGGAGACGAGCTATGCGATGTAGATAACTTAAATATCATTCCAACATCCTCGTAAATAATCACTTAAATACTGCCCGATAAAAATCAATTATTAGCATCAGCCTTCAGGTGACTAACTACCGTAAATGACATAGTTACTTCAATCGTTGTTTGAACTACATAGAAATATCTTATATTAAGAATAACCTGTATATTCGAAGCCTAAAATAGTTTAAAATTATACACATAACATGCAACCGTCGAGATGACACGTAACGTTTCTTAACACACGACCAACAATCGTCGTCTCTAGTAGTGACGCTGACCTCTAATTATGACGTTAAGTCATAGACACGGACGTAGCAACGTTATAAACTTTACGCTCTGCTTCTATCGTACGGTTATGGGGCGCAAATAAACCTTGTATAATAGGAGGCCTGGAGCTGTCCTGGAGTTGGTTGTTAGCAGGACACTTGGAGCGGACCAAGAGTCTGGTGTTCGCTCTGGTGTATGGTCGCTACACGTGCACCTCAACACAACATCAGCACATGCTAAACAGGTAGTAATACCGACATCTCAAACACAAATTTCACGACCCATCAAAATCAAACAGAACAATCACGACAAACTCAGTGCGTTATTATATACTAACGATTTCCACACGTTTTCAGCGTACACAAATGAGTCAAAAATTTAAGCTGTGTAAATCCTGGAACGTTGCCTGCTACTAGGCGCGTGCGTCGCGTAGGTTCGCTCTTGAGTCCTTTCCACGGGACAGAAGCGAAGTAACGTTTAATTTATCTGAGGTGAATTGTATTCTATTACGATCGTACGAAATATTTTCCCATTCTAAAGTTAATACCTCAGCACGCTTCATTCTAGTCAAGAAAAGCACAAGAATAGGCGACAGGCCTATCCAGGCCTATTCTTTAATGCCGAAGATACTATACTATTCTGTTTCTAATTTATAATTTTTTTTAAGAATTGTAGTGCGTAATGCCATTTATTTAATGATAATGCTTAATTTTTAGAGACAAAGAGATTAGAAAAATGTATTAATGAGCTCCTCGGTGTTTGTTCAATATAATATTGATTTTCGCCGTATTCATGAACAGATTTTCATCACAATAGAACTACGTGATACCTAGACAATTTATCTAGTATGGCGCTAACTTGAGTACTTTCAAGCACTAAATATAAAAGACAACCAACAAGCGATTAATTCATATCGGACCACTACATCGTTGTAGAATATCAATTCTTTACTCCTGCTTCCCTTTAAACTATATATAAATTATAACTATATATATAA